ATGATCCTCTGAGGCTGTATGATACATGCTATTAAAGATATATAAACAAAGCTATACCCTTGGGTTTTAGTACATTTTCTTTCATTACAAGGACATGAATATTAAATTTATTATTATTCTGTCAGGTAATGTCTGCTTGATCCTTGTTTCTGTGGCTGATGTTTAGAAATAACCTGTCTCTTCTACTAAAAGATTTTTTTTGTGGAAATACTCTTGTAACTTTGACCTAAAACTGGGGTAGCAGAACATTTCATGTCTCTGAACTTGCTGAGGAGCAAAGGAATGGAGAGCCATAGGTGACAATCTCAAGTCAGCCTGACAACAGGAGCTGTTTGGTGAATAGACAACACAGTTCAAGAGATATGTGGAGATGAAGTACTCAAGCAAGTGTCATCTATATTTAAAGGAAAAAGAATTAAAGGGGATAAGACAGAAAACTCATCATGCTTTGATTATTAGAAATATAAATGGTTTTTGTTGGTCACTGCTCCTTTATTGAAAACAAAACAAACTTGAGATGTTGGAGCAAAACAATGAAAACAACTAAACGGCCAGACCAAACAAAAGAAGAGACATGAGGCTAAGATATTTTGGTGGAATCTAAATTGTATTTCCTGAAACATTCTGTGCAAGGGGCGTCGGCTGACTTCAGAAGCTCAGGTCACAACGCTATCCTAGAGTATGTAATTTTGTAAGGGCAAATCCTGTGTCCTGAAACAAATTCAGATGGGCCATCTTGGCAGACTTTCCTCCTTGTCCTCTTACTTAGGTCTTACTGCATGAGAGGGGTTTTTGCAGGTAAATTCAGAATAACCACACAAAAGTATTGCAGAGTCTGAATCTGACAGAGCATTAGAATATGTCTGAACTTTCTAATCTCAGCTATTACTACTATACTTTGCAGTATTACCCTGGGCATACTGACTGGCTTTGAACCTGATTCACCTGAAGTCTATCTAGAACAGCAAAACTGCAACAATGCCCAGCAGCTGATATTTAGGGAGAGTTTAAGAAATTACTATTCCCCAGCAGACCTTTCTAAACATGGGAAATCAGAAGTTTTGTTATTTCTGTAACTATCAAGGTCCATTGTTTAACAGTGGACCTGTCTTCTAGGAATTCACCTAGTGCCTTTTGGCTCCTTTGTAATTCTGTGCCCCACAGCACCCTGAGGCAAAACATTACACAATATTCTCAAATATTCTCATGTAAAGGTGTGCTTATAGAAGTTCTCCCTCATTCTTAGCTGATACAAAGTAGTCATTGCTTGTCACACATGTAATCTGCGCCTTTCATGGTTTTCTAGATCAGTACTTTATAAAGCCTATTCCTCTCCAATCATTCCCTTTCAATTTTTAAAAATCATGTTCTTCTGTTTCTCCTACCTTGAAGCAGTTGTATGCAAGTTCTAAAAATGCTTCTTTTTTGCCTTCCTTTGCACTTTGTCTGCTTATACTTACCCATTTTGATGTGGGATTGCTGGCATTCAGCAGTGTGTCATCGTGATATTTGTCAGATTGCTTTCGATGTCTTTCCTAATAGCGTTCCCAGAGCGCTGGTTGGTGTGATGTTCTCTCACTGAGCACCCAGAGGATGGCTTCCCAGAACTATTCACCCACCGTGACCCTCTCATCCTTGCATCCCTTTCCTGAGTGGTAGCAGCTTATTCAGAGCCTCCCACCCCAGAAAAAGCTACAAAGAAACAAGCCTGGGAAAGTCCCGTCGTTTACTGAAGCTGCTGATCTATATGAATGTTAATTACAGTTACAGTCAGTGTTGGCCAATACTAATTAATTATCACACAAGTACCACTAGAGATTGATGATAAACTTCCTGAAGTTTAATCCTGGCAAACATAAAACTTTTGAGAAGGATGGGCAAACAACACTGTCACTCACAATTTATAGAACCAGAAGAAAACAAAGACATTAACAGGGCTTTAACTTAGTCTTGGTGTGCTGCTGCTCACTGCTCTTCATTAAACAAACAGAAAGATTCAATTATAAAACCAAACAAAATAAATAACCATACTAAACAAGAGAATAGGTGACAGGCGAAGATATTTAGGAGAGCCTAAGTTCTAGAGGGCAATATTAAGAGTTATTTGACATGTTAATTTAATGAAGGGTTATGAGACAATATAATTTATGAACTTTGTCTGCTGCTTTCATTTTTACTTGGCCCAAAAATGTTCTCTAGCATAGACCCTGCTAAGCATATGAGTGGGTCTGATTTGACATCACTGGGTCACTACGGTGGCTAAGAGTAATGGACATCTAAGCAACTGCAAGGGACAGACACCAAGCAAAGCCTACACAGGAAAAATGCCATAAAGTTGGAAGATTCTACAAAACTCTCACAGTATCAGGCGAAAATGAAATTGAGAGGCTCTGATATTTGTGTTGTTTAATTAACCCTCCCCCAAACCTCTAACTGATACTAAACATGATTTCTGTTTGTGTTTATAATCAACCAGCATCCATCCCCTCGGGAATGGAACTGCTCCAGATGCTATCTAATCAAGTTCACCATTTCTGCCACCCTGGGCTTTGTTGCTACTGCAGTTATTCTGTTCTTTGTTAAAGGTGCTTAAGCATGCAGGGTCTGGCTTTTTTCCCTCTCTTCAGTTTACACCAAAATATCCTTTTTGTATGAAATAACAACACACCTGAAGATGCAGTACTTATGCTACCACAATCCTTGCATAATACAGGGTTTTGCTAATCTGAGTAGTAATTCAGGCTGGAAGTACTTGGGTTGGCATGCTTCCATGGTTAATACCTACCTACAGAAGAAGGCCAAGAAAAACCTTCTGAGAGCCTGGAACTGTGCAATGCTACCCTAATCCCCCAAACTGTGCTCAGCTGGAGTTTTCCAAGACTAGCGGTGAGAATAGGGTTGCAACAGCAAGGCTCATATCCCTTGTGCAATGGAAAGTTTGGAGAGTGACTGCTTTCTTTCCTGAATTCTGGCAGAAGATTGCAGAGATGCCCCTTCCCTCAGGCAAGCTACATCTCAACCGTGAAACAGAGATGTAGAAACTGCAGGACAATGAAGCGTGATTAATTTCTTTTGGTGAATGCTGTGCTGCTGCAGTAGAATTTCCAGGTGGTTTTAAGTGTAATCACTATCTTGCTTACATTCTTCTGGGAAAAGATCCATTTAAATTAATGCAATCTCTTAGGTCTCTAATTTACTATGTAGGGGTGTGGGTCAGGGGGGCTGTGTGCTGTTTATCCTGAACAAGATTAGGGTGATGCTTTGAGGTTGAAGAAAGCAATTAAGGTAATTGTGTGTGAAATGTTTGCATTGCTTGTCCTCTGGTTTTTCTAACCATTTTGCAATTTTGGGGATGTTATCTACTACTGATTTAAGACCTTGTGAACAATCCCCCTTCTTTGTGAGGAGCAGAGCAGATTGCACGCTTTTCTTTCAGCAGCAGTTCTCATGAAGATAAGCTCATTGCCAGGTTGTGCTCCAGTTTGTTCCATTACTTCATGCGCTGTAAGACAACAGGAGTTTCTACTTCCATGAAACCATCCCACAACACTTGCACAGGAAAACTGTAATTTACACCACACTTACACAAATCAAGGGTAGTTTTAATCTCCAGAACTGCCAGTTTTGACTTGTAGCTGGGACGGTGCCTAGGCATCGAGATAAAATCAGGGTCTCCTGTATAGACTGCTATGTACAGCTTCCTTACATATTCTATATGGAACTACTTTCTGTACCTTTTTAGGCAGCATGGTTGAAGATGCAGCATATTTAGTGAGCCATTTCCACCTCAAGAACTCGTTTCTCTTGTTGATCTGTCAAACCTGTTATTCAGCCTTTAGGATATAACACAAAGTGAAACTGTTTACAGAATTAGAGAGTGGAATACATGAAAAATGGCAGAAAAGCTTGAGTGTGGGAAGTGCCACTCATCCTACCTGTGATTGCCTTGAACAAAACACAGGTGTGATCCATGGGAGCAGCGACACATTTGTGCCCAACAGTGTTAACACCACTAGTGAGTAGAATTATCCACTTTGTCATAAATGCTGGTAAAAATATGTGGTTATGCAGAAAACATTTTCTTTGTGATGGTGTCTTCTTTCCAAATAAAAGCTTTTAACGAGGCAAAGGATTGCTTTGGGTTGGATTGGACTGAAACTTTGCTTCACAGCTGTTTTGCAATATTTTTTTTACAATTTTTCAGCACTCTTCCAGCTCATCTACTTAGCCCTGGTGAGGCCACATATGGAGTGCTGTGTCCTGGATTTCAAAAGACGAGAGACGTGGAGCTCCTGGAGCAGGTCCAGCAAAAGGCAACAATGATTCAGGGACTGGAGAATCTCTGTTACGAGTGATGGCTGAGGGAGCTCGCCCTGTTCAGCCTCGAGAACAAAGGGAGGGACCTGGGACCTCATCAATACCTGTAAATATCTAAAGAGAGGGTACCAAAAAGATGGAGCCAGGCTCTTCTTGGTGCTTGAGCAGGGAGGCTGGACCAGATGACCCACTGTGCTCCCTTCTGGCCTGACGGAATGTGTGATTCTGTGATTCCAGAGGTGGAGACAGCTTTTTCGTTGTTTTTAAAAAAAAAAAAAAAAATCTCCCTGAAGATTTTTCTCCGGGAGAATGTTCCGCCTGTTCTCCGCGGAGGGCCGCACCCCCAGCCGCGCCAGGCCCGAGTGACCCCGGGGCAGTGCTGGGCGCAGCTGAGGGGACACCGCGGGGCACCCGCGCTCGGGGGACGAGAGGCGGCCGCCTCGAGCGGGCGGGCGGGCAAGGGAGCTTCGGGGTCTACCCGTCCTCCCCTCCTGCCTTCTTCACGGGGCGGCCCGAATTGTCTCCCCTCCCTCCCGGGGCGGTCCCCGGAGCGATTGGCGGCTGTGCCCGGGCGCTGCGGCGGGCGCCGGGTGGGCCGTAGCGGCGGGGCGGGTCCGAGGAGCCGCCGCCAGCCCGCCCTTCTCTTCAGCCCGGCCCCGCCGCCCTCCCCCGGCCGCCTTAAAGCCGTGCCGGGGCCGGGGCGGCGGTAGTAGCGCAGTGCGGCCGGCGGCGGCTCCTCAGCGGTGCCGGGAGTGCGGGGGGGCCGTTCCGCCGCAGCGCCGCGCCTGGAGCCCCTCCCTCCCTCGGTGCCGCCGCGCTCCCGCCTCGCGGGCCGAGGCTGTCACGGCCGGGCGCCGCCAGCATGTTTGACAGGACGCGGCTGCCCTTCGTGGCGCTGGACGTGCTCTGCGTGCTGCTGGGTAGGTCGGGGGGTCGCCGAGGGGCTCGGGGGCCGCCCCGGGGGCCGCGCTGCGCCCCCCCGGCACCGCGCTGACCGCATGCTCGCCCCCCGCTCCCCGCCGCGCCGGGCAACCCCCGAGCGGGCTCCGGCCACCCCGCGCCTCCTCCCGCCTCTGCTTGCCGCCCTGCCCTCCCTCCTGCCCCTGCCCTCCCGGGGGGGATCTGGTCACCATCTCGGGCCGGGAGGGGAAGGGAAGAGCCCCGCAGGGAGGGAGCTGCTGCACCTTATCTACTGACATCTCGAACTCCCTCTTCTTTCTGATGTCCTCACTCTTCCTTTCCTAACCTTCTTTGTCGGCTGAAAACCGGTTGTGGCAAAAGGCAGTGCTGGAAAGGTGGATGTCTGGTAGATGTCTGTTGCCTGGGGTATGTTTGCTAGCCCGGGTGGGTCGGGAAGCTGTCCTGGAAGGGGCCGACGACATGGGAATACGCCTCATCCCTCCCAGGGTCCGGCAGAGACGCTCTAGTGCTCGGCTGTAGAGGTGTTCGCCGTAAGGCTGTGTGCGGTGTCGGTGGCAGTAAGCTACCCCTGTAGGCTGAAAGCGAAATAAGGCATTTCTTAGAGCACGGCGTTTGCGCCCTCGTGTCTGTGTGCAGCAGGGAGGGACGGATATCGGAGCAGGAGCGATGCCTCGGTGATGGCCATGGGTTGAACCGAAACAGCCACAGCACACTGCCACAGTGCTCTGCAATGCTTGTTTTGGCCAGCCCAAATATCAACGCCTTCCCAGCGTTACTTTCTTCTAGTTCAGTCTCTCTAATGAAATTACTTCAGGTCCTGTCAATTTGCGTTAACTCTCTCCTTTCAAGCAGTGACACAGTGTGAAGAGCAATAATGTTAGTTACTGATCAGCGAAGGGGCAGCTTCATTTGTAAAGACCTGTAGCACCTCTATGTGTTGAGAGCCTGGCAAGTGTCTTTGCTACCTGAAGATGAGGTTCTTGGTCAGTCTTAGGAGGTGTTAGTTTTGGATGTTGGCTTCTTAGTCAAACAATGTCAGTACTTAAGTAATAAATCTAAGCACTTTCTCATCAGTGTGGTGCTCAACCCCCTTGGCTGAAGATTAGCATTAGTATGAACATAACTAGTAACATTTTTGTCTTACTGGATTCTTCCAATTGCAATAGTACCTGTAGCTAAGTGCCATGAAAGAGCAAAATTACAGTGAATGATGTATTACTCAGAATTAATGTTATATGAGAGAGAGGTTTTGCAGAATGATAACGGATCCATGTTGGGAGCAGTCTTTATGCAGATCAGAGGTTTTATGAAGCTGTGCTGTAGCGAGGCTTAAACTTTCATGCTGTTGTTAAAGTCAGTGAAGGAGTTTTGTCAGTTCTGATAATTGTAATTAAAAAATCTTTATAATTAGGCAAAAGTTTTGCACTATTCATGTACTTTGTGTTTGAAGCATATGGGCATATTGTAAGTAATCTTGAGTAATCAAGGAAAACAAAATATATTCAAATTAGGACTGTAGCAGACATAACTTGAGGGTCATCTAGCTGAAAGAATGAGGGTTCCCCCTACGTCATTACCTTGGAAGGTAGATTCTTGACCTACCTTGCTCTGCAGTGTGATATCTTTACATACCTTTCCCCGCTCTCACCTTCCCCCATGTAACATTTGGATCACAGATGCACTAATCTGGTGTCCCAGTGTGCTGGAGGGTTGCCAGACTCTTTATTTTCCCTTGGGCTTGTTTACTACCTACTAATAGTCTGAAAAATGCAGGCAGTGCATGATATGAAGTCTCTTGACACCTGCAACTTTAAACACATCAAGTTGCAGGTTTTAGTGAAACTGCAGCTGAGGCAAAAAAATATGTATGTGTAGGAATGGGAAAGATAGTGGATGTAGGACCAAATCTCTTCCTCTTTTCCCTGGCTCCCATGTGATTGAGGCAGGCCCTTAGAAATAACATAGTTCTTATGTGTGTCTAATGGGGAAATCTCTTTTAATTTATTTTTACTGTAGAAAGAACAGTTCCTGTTGATTGTGGACTTTAATTCTCACTTTTTCCCTACCCTTCCCCCTGTTTGTGCACTTTGATATCTGCTCAAAATACCAAGGTAGCTGCCCAGATAAAGTGACTTGCAGGTCTGGATAACATGATACCTAGTGTCTCCACTACAGAGACCATGAGGCCTCCAAGAGAAAACTGAAAGTTTAAACATTGTGAAGACCAGCTTCACATTACAGTGACCTGACTTACCCATAAGCTCACCGCAGTAGAAATGGATGACTCTGTGTGTGTCTGAGTTACTTGCTCCTGTTTTAGTCAAGCCATTCTTTGTGCATTCTTTCTCAACACAAGTTTTTCAAAAGAAAAAGAAGGGGGAAAAGAGCTATACAGTGATTTTTTTTTTTTACTGTAATTTAAATGGTTTTATTGAAAGATCTGACAAATGCCTAAGATGGAGCTGAGGTAAGAGAGTAAGAGGGGGCACACAGGGAAGGGGAAAAAAGGAGGAGGGAAAAATATCTCCCCCTTTATCTGACATTAAACTATGAGAACAGTTTGGTTGCCTGAAACTTAAGTCTAGGTTGCTTTTAATTGTCCTTAAGGAAACTCCCTCCCTCAGCCATGTTGTTACCCAATAAGGGAGAGAGAATCCAGGGAAAGAAGTCTTTGGTGCTCTGAGAAAATAACTCTTTCCCTCTTATCAATATGGTAATCCTCTCCTTCTAAAAATAACACTGGTGTTTCAGCATTAAACTAGCTTTCTGTTCTGTAATCTAAAAAAAAAAAAAAAAGACATTGCAGGTTTCTGCAGTATCTGTCCTTAAATAGTGTGAGGAGGCTGTTTCTGCATTCCTTATGTGCTGATCTGCAGTGCTGGGTGTGTGCTGCTGCATGTCTGTGTTCAGCTCTGCAGTGCTGCAGACAACAGCTCCCTTACTCTGTGCAGTCCAGGGAGCAGTGGTCAGATGCATCCGTCACTGGAAAGCATGAGTGGCCTGGACTGTAGAGTTTTTTTTCTCCTGCATACTTGTCTTACTTGTCCCTCCTTGGTTTTCTGATAGATAGACATTTTATATAGCATGGCAGAGACTGACATTTCTAGACAATAGTAAAACTATTTTTCACAGGTAGTGAGACTTGGTTCTTCTGGTTTATTACACTTGCAGTTTGTCAGGCAAAACTGACCTTTTACTAGACTAGCTTAATTAGTTAGCTTGCAAATGATGGCTTCATTAGGCACTATATATACACTCTCTGCCACTCCTAAAGGTCTATTGTTTGTTAGGCTCCTTTTTCATTAAGGGACATAAACAACACTTAAAGAACAAAGTTGGGAAAACCATGGTAATATTCTTGTAATCAGTGAAAGAACTGCTGAATACATTTATCTTTAGATTAAACTCTCACTAAGACAAAGGCAGATTAAAGTAAGCTCTGCAGAGGTGACTGAAGCCTTAAGGAAAACATTTCTGTCACGCTAGACTCTGGGATGACTTTCTTCTGGCCTGAACTTTTTGAAATTCGTGCCTAAATTGAGTGCAGGAGTGCAATACAGTGTGTCTTCCTTTAGTCCCTTGCCTGGCTATGCAATTACTGACAAGCTATTGTGAGTAACTGGGAGTTGTACTTGTCAATATGTGATTGCTGGTGTAATACAAGAATAGGTAAAACCCAAGATCAGAAAAATTGAAGCCTTCTAAAGAATTCACCCCTTTGTGTTCTGATCCACTTTTCTGCAATATGTTGGAAACAGTAAAGAATTACTCAGTTAAATTTAAAACTGCTGTGCAATCTAGTTATGTTTGTGTAGAGATTTCTTCTTTCTTCCTCTCTGTGTCCTACCCTGTGCTGGTTCAAGAAGCCAGCTGAAAATTTCCCTACTGCCTGGCTGCTCTGTGTCAGTCTTTTTTTTTTTTTTTTGTCATGAAATTACTTCTGAGTAAGGGAAGAACCTTTAGGCCTTCCAAATAGAAGGGCATGTGAACTAAACCCAGAAATACTAAATGCTTAGATGACTTTAAGCTTGCTATTGCTGCTGCGATATTTTGTGATACAGGATAATACACTAAATAGCATGCGATACATGTGTATAGCCCAGGTGAGTTTACTTTTGCAGTAAATGACTAGTGAGAGTGAGATGGCTGGATCACAGTGCACACCCTGTGCAATGTTTTTCCTTTAGGATCTGCACGTTTCTTCTGGGAGTGTTTAATCCTGCCATCACTGAAGGTAGCAGTCTTGGTGATGATTACAGTATTGCTGTTCAGTGAAAAAATGCCTCCTATGTGGGTTAGCACTTCCTGATTGCCCTAGTTCAAATAAAATCTCCTCTATTACTCGTGACTCATATGTGTCACCATTCTTATTTTCCACATCAGGTGGATGCTAAATACTTTTTCTAGTGCATGAATACATTGTTAATCTGTAACAAGTATATGTGAAAGAGCAGTTTGTCTTTAGTGACACTGTCCACCAGGTACCATGAGATGATACTCACTGACACTGTCAGTTCATTAGAAACATACTTGTCACTTAAAACTTGGAAAATCTTTGCTCTCCTCCTGTGCTTTCTTCTTTGCAACATTCACTTTTTATTTTCTCTATAAAGGAGGATGCTGTAACAGAGATTCTCTTCCCTCTTGCTCAGAAGCCTACAAAAAACCTTTAGGTTAGAACTCAGCTTGTTGACAAACATTGTTCAAAGTCAGCAATCTAATTCTTGCTCTGCCAGCTTTTACTATTAAAGTGTATCTTATACTAACTCCTGACTCAAAGCCAGAAATTCTTGCACTTTCTTTTTACAGCAATGGGTGAATCCTAATTCACCTTCCAGTGCCTTCCCAAGAGCAAAATCTTAAATTCCATGTTCTTTCCTCTTGGCATATTGAAAAGGATGCTTATCAGCTCTTAGGTTCCTTACCAGCTGCTTGAGTCTTGGTGATTTCTTTTTTTTTGGCCTTAAGCACTGAGAAGGGCTCTTGCAGCATGCTTTTG